GCCGTCCCTGCAGCCCAAGCAGCCGCCCCTCTCTGGGGAGGAAGTCGGAGGTGCTCTTGGTCGTGGAAGGACTTGGTCCAGTTGTCTCAGCCTCATTCTTAGGTGCTCTCACCAAAGGAAGGAGGGGAGGGCTGGCGGGGCTGTTCCCTCGTGACTCTGCTGAGAGTAAAAAGCACGTGTCAGTTTGGCCTTTTGTGTCACTCAGGTGGCCAGATTAGCCACATCCGGTTCACTGTTTTGTACTTAGGCTTGAATACTTAGACCTTATAGTCATCTAAATAGGCATTAAAAAGCAAACAGCGCCCCAGTGACGTTTGATTGCTGAATGTCCTACACTGCCCTTCTGGGGACTGCAAAAAATAGCAAGAAGTGTGGTGAAAAATACGGTGATTCATGAGTTTTGCATTAGAAATTAGGGACTGTCCATTGAACTGAAAGAATATGAACTCAGCCGCTAATGTCAGTGAATGACAGGGACAGATTTGGAAGGGAGACTGCCGTGAGAACACAAAATGAGATCCACTCTAAGTGGGGGAAGGAGAAGGGGAAGGAAGCCTGGAAGTTGTCAGATGCCTGGTCTAGATAGTCTCAGGGACACTTGGAAGGGCTGGCGAGCGGCTGTAGTGTTCTTCCTGCTACGTGCCACACGGTGGCGCTGGTGGCTTTCGCCTTGGCCATCCAAGGGAATTCCATCCTGTCCCTCCACCTCCTGTGGGGACTTGACGGCCTTCTCATCCATCAGAATTTCAAGTCCTGATCTAGTTAAACATCTCTTCCCTAATTCCCCAAATGGCATGTTTAAGCCTCAGAAAGCAGTGGTGATGCGCTCACCATGATGAGTAGGACATGTGATTTCCTACCTGCAGCTGTAGCATGAGTTCATTGATGTGGCTATAGGCAGCCGTTTTCTCCCCTGTGAGGAGCAGCTTAGACATTCCTGACATCGTATCTTGACGTCTGCTATAGAATGTAAGATAATATAGGCAACTACTTATTTTTTTTAAATCTTACAAAATAAATATTTAGGGTAATTCACAACTCTATTGAAATAAAAATTGAGTGATAATTCTGCAGTTTCTATTTGCTGCCATACATAGCTGTCTCACACAGAATAAAAGCGAGGTGGAGAGAGACATGCAGTATATTTGAGGCTTTTGATTTAAGAGAGAAAAGTCAAGACTTGGTCTGAAACTGATACATTCCATGAGGCAGAAGGCTTGCGGAATTCCGTATTCGTTTGCTCTTCCCTTGGAGCAGCTGTGACTTGAGAGGCCTGTTGGTGTGTTACGTAACCACTTTTCACTTGGAATTGTGTTGAAAAGTGAAAGGCCAGCAAGAGCCAGTGCTTGGGTCTGTCGAAGCCCAAGTGTGCAGACGTCCTAGGGTCTTAGCTACGGCGTCCTAACCACCGAAGGTCAAGGTGCCACTCTAAAGCATGTTTTCCTAGGTGTGACATGAAGTCTCAAAGTGTGTGTGTGTGTGTGTGTGTGTGTGTGTGTGGCTTAGAGGAAAAAGGTAGACTAACTACTTTTTCAGAAGTTTCAAGATAATATAGCAAAGGTTCACACCTTTTTGGTGTTAGTCCTTATTTGAGGACTATTACGAAATGTGCTTGTGATTGTCAACGAAGTTGACCATTTTTAGTGAACGCATTTTGGTAAAAATCTCAAGTTAGCAACTGTGTATTTTTAAAAACTTCATTTCAGGAGGGAGGCATAGAGGGTCACAACCTGACATTCGTTCACGCTGCTCTGAAGTCATTTCAGTAAAGAAACGCTAATGCCCCCCCATCTCAGCCTTCTCACGGCGTCTCCTTCCCAGCTGCATGGTGTTCTGCTCATTTTAATAATTTTACCACCTGGTGTGTTGGGACACATGGATGGATGGATGAGTGCTAATTTTTTATTTTCAAGGAAAAAATAAAATTAGTCTGTAAAACAGCACTCAAGTCCGGAAGTTCGGAGCGTGCCAGTTGCCTTGAATGTGTAACCGAAGTCTCCATTTGCTAAGAGTCAGGCCAGATGTTGCGGCCTCGGGGGTCTCCCCGCTTCTGTGCCCCCGACACACGCACTGCCTGTTCCTGGACTGGGGGCCACAGTCAAGTTGTTTGCATGCTCCCTGCAGATCAAGGCAAAGCTTTATGATTAAATGGTATTGAAGTATTTTGACTTTGTACACTTTTGCCAGAAGTGCCCAGTAGCTGGTTTATTATAAATCTACTTTACCTCATATTAAGAAGTGTTTCATTTCAGAATCATAAGTATTTTAGGTAAGAGCCTCCTGATTTTGAATAATACTTTTGCTGTTGCAATTTTTAACACAAGGGTTTTTCTACATCTACACTTAAATCTTTTTATTAATCTTTTTTTTTTAGGTCCTACGGCTCTGTTGGCTCATGAAATAGGTTTTGGAAGCAAAGTTACAACACACCCACTTGCTAAAGATAAAATGATGAATGGAAGTAAGTACACGCTTATATGTTAACGTACGGTAAGGCCTTTTCTAAAGGCTGTAATTTAGCTCGGTTTCCTGCTCCGCATGATCCGATGCGTGGAGTCTGGGCGGAGGTGCGGTGTGGTGTTGCTCGCGCTCTCTGTACGCGTTTGAACTGGAGAGACGGAGTGAGCCGCAGGACAGAGGCCTGTCACCCGGTGCACCATTGGGTCCTGGCAACTGAGCCGGAGGCCAGCCGAGTCCTGATGTTACGGGTTGAAGAGATCATGACATGCCAGTTTAACTAGTATTTTTATTAAACGCTTGGCCGGAAACCTGAGGGTAAATTTTAAACCTCGACAACAGTTTCAGAAAGTGCCCTTTGCCCATAGTCCGAGGTAAAATGAACATTGCTCTGGCCCTTCAGAGACTGCCTGGGTGGCAGGCCCGCTTACTGTGGCGACACACTTCTCATAAATAGTAGCTAGACGTTTAACTTTTATCAATTTATTTTCGTAAAGACCGTTTCTTTTTCATGGTAAGAAATGCAAACGAGGGGGCGAAGAAAACGAACTCGCGCCCCTGTCCTGTGTTTAGAGGTGACCTGTGTCTTGAGTAGCTGTGGCGTTGTCTCTGCACATGCTCATTACCCTTGTAGTTGAACACGTTTACTCAGAGGAGAGCTACTGCGTACATTATTCTGCAGCTTGCCTTTTAAACCTAGCACTGACATATCTTTTTTGTAATTTATCAAATATTTCTTTAATTTTCTGATGCCGCTGCTTATTTGGAGGCTATAAATATTAAAGAAGCACGACGTTATCTCTGTCCTCCAGGAGTGAACAGCTTGCAGAGACATACCCATCATATTTTAAAATACAAGGCAGTGTGTAATTAACAGCAAAACCCTGTAACCAAACCCTGAATGTACAGCTCCGTGAGCATCAGGGCTCCCTCGGTGACAGCTGCTGCTTCTCCGCTGGCATTCAGATCAACCAGGTACTGTCTTCTGTCAGACAGGTGGTATTTTCCTCTACCATCTGTCCCTGGAGCGCACGTAACAGAAGCAGAGACCCTGGAACTTCCAGGGGGAAAGGAGCATCACACTAGTGTGGGCAGCTGCAGGAGAAGCAGGAGCGTCCAGCTAGAGGCGCCGCGGCTCACCCGGCGTTCAGCCGGCGAGGAAGCTGAGCCCCTGGTTCTGTGTAAAACACCAGCCAACCAAAAATCAGTGAACGAACAAACAAAACCAAATAATAATAATATCAAAGGCCGATTTGAAGATAACTGCAACCAATACGCTTTCTGCCCTGTCTCGGTCTCCTCTGGGCTAATTCTGAGCTAAAAAAGTAGAGCAATTAATACTACATCTTACGCCTTCACATCAAAGAAAAGTGATGCATTTTTCACGTTGCTGTTTTTTAAATCAATGGATCTTATTTTTTAGAGCATTTTTAGCGTTATAGCAGAATCAGGCAGAAAGTGCAGAGTCCCTAAGACCCCCGCCTGGCACGTGCAGCATCAGCGTCCTTTCCCGTGCCAGCTGCCACATTTGTTACGGTCCATGGACCAACATTGACGCGTCGTCATCACCCAAAGTCCATAGTTTACGTTGGGGTTCACACTTGGTGTTGGACATTTTGTATATTCTGAAGTTCGATCCAAAGTAGTATTTCCTTGAACATCTATCATTTTAGTTGCTAGAAAGATTCTAGGTTGTTAGAACCATCTGTATGGAAATGGGTTTTAAAAAGGGCTCTTGGTCCTGGCGTTTTTTAATGTAGGAATGTAATTCGCTTTGAGCTGATGGAGGTTTTGGCAGGTTGGAAAGAACCGAGTCAGCTGCCCTGCAGCGTGCACTCGAGGGGACACAGTCCTCCAGGACCTGAAGGCGGGTCTGTCGTTTGCGTTTTCTTGTAATGCCTCCCGAGCTCACCGGTTGATCGGGATTGGGGAGGCTCAGACGGCCAACTCAGTCGTTTATGAAGTACGTTTACGTGCATGGTCTCTGGAGCCTCACAGTCCCCAGTGCCCAGCAAGCCAGCTGTTGTCATCTCGATGTCACCTCCGAGAAGCCAGGCGACTCGCCCAGAGTCAGCCAGAACCCAGGCCCAGCCCCTGTCTTGGTGCGGGTCCCACACACATGGACGCTACCAGGCGTCAGAGTAGTCAGTGAACCCCGGTGTGGAAAAAGCCATTGGAGGTTTCTGTCCCCTAGAACATTCTGCGAAGTGGAACTGGGATCACTTCCTGGTTATCTCGTTGGGCGAGGCCCTTCTGCTGGTCGTCACCGTGAACTCACTGGATCAGTATGAAACTTTTTGCTCAATGTGCAGTCCAGTCTGCGGGCGGGGTCTTTCCATTCCTCCCTTTTTAGAATAAGTAAGTGGTGACTGTAATTTTCTTGAGCGGGCATCCGGAGGCCGTAGCCGAGCCCCGGGGAGGAGCAGGACCTCTGGAGCCCGAGCTCTCGCCGTGCACCTGGCGGGCTCCAACCTGAGCCTCGCTCCTGGCCTGGCGTCTGGATGACAGCTCCTGCCTCAGGGTTGCTGGGGGCTCAGGGAGTGTTCAAGGCACTTAGAGCATTGGCCGTGCGGCAGGAGGGCGGCTGGACAGTGCTGGGACGTGGCGGGGGCCCGACTGCCCGTGCCTGGCCATCCGTACAATGTCGGCTTTGACTGGGTTCCCACAATAGTCCCATTAGGGTGGTGTCGTCCCCGCTTTGCAGAAAAGAAGAGCGAGGCTTAGAGAGGTCAGACGGCCGCTCAATGGCCCATCAGATCCCAGATCTGCTCTGCTTGGCGACTTCCCCTTAAAGGGCCAAATAGTAAGGATGTCAAGTTCTTGGGGACCTCAGGTCTCTGCAGCTACCTGACTATGGGAGCTTTGTGCAGGTGCCGAGCTGCGGGAGTTGCTGACCCCTGGCCTCCCCGGATGCTTTTTCTCTGAAGAGATTTTCTGGCTTTGGGGTGTTTGCTTAAAATTAAACGAAATGAATGCCCTATGTCAGATTGAACGTGAGGTGTCAATTTGCCACATTCCCAAAACATATCAGCTGGTGAGAGAGCAAGCGCGTTGTTTTTCTCCGTCGTCGCCACTAGGTGGTGGTAGTTGCTAAGTGCAGACCATTTGCTCTTCTTCGTTGAAGTTTTGCCAAGACCCATGGAACATCTTTAACCAGTTTAATCGGTATTTGTAATATTTTACCCACAAGAGAAGTGAACCATTTAGAACTGTGCCTCACGCCACCCCAGTCTGGGCAGCCCCTCTCACAGCTCATCCCAGCTCAGCTGGTTTTCCTGTTCAGCATTTAGAATTCTCTGGCCTGTTTTAACTGTCAGTAAATGACGTTCGGTTATGAAGACTTTTTCCCTCAAATCGGGGGTCCTCTTTTCCTCCATAATAGGACGTGGGGAACTTTAGCTATACTGCATGTGGTTATTTCAGTGGGTGACCAGATTTTTAATGAGGCGTGTGAGACAAATTATTGCAGGCGGTGTTAATCCCCCTTGAGAAGACATGACCGTCATGATGTGTGTGGTTTGTAAAGCCCGTCATGGGAGCAAAAGCGTCACTTCTGCTTTAAGCGGAGTCGTCAGCTGCCTTTTCTGTGCTGTTCGTTGAACCAGCGTCCCCTGAGCGTCTCCCCGGGCTCTGGGGCGGCCTTGCCCCGGCTGGTGGGGGACGGAGGCGCGATGGTCGGCGGGCTTTTGGGGCCGGGGAGGGTGGTTTGAAGTGTGTGTGCCTGGCTCTGCCTGCAGTGACCAGGCAAGACAAGATGCCACAGGAGTCTCTTCGGCTTTAACCCCTCCCCTAAATCTGTTTGTCCTTCGTGTCCCATGTCACTGCGTGGCACCACCACCCGCCCAGTTGCTGGGGACAGACAGCTGGGAGGCATCTTTGACGCCTCCGCACGTCCAACTCTTCACTAAGTTCTGGGCGTTTTATCTCCAAGATACATCTCAAACCTCCTCTCTGTCGCCACCGTCCTCAGCCAGGTCACCATTCGCTTCCACCTGGATGGCAGGTTCTTTTCTGTCCCCCTTGTGGTTACTTGCATTTCAGTCTCTGCCGGCCGGACCCAGAGCACTTGTGTACCGTGACCCGGCGTTCAAGTTCAGCTCAGGGTGCTAGAGAAAGTGGGCAAAGGTTCTCCATGGGGGCCAGAACCGGATGAGCTCTGATCAGTACTTTGGGCCGGCCTCCTGTCCGCTGGTGCTGAACATGGGGGACGGGAGGGGGGACACAGAGACCCCGTGTCGGGTGCACAGGAGCACGGGGCACCGGGGCTGGCTGTCTTTCGTCTGGCCGTTCTCCTGGTACTTAGACATCAGTGTGCTAGGCCTCGCCTTTCGGAGAGGGGACAGTGCACGAGGAGACTGATGAGCTGTTGACAGATCATGTCGTGCGGGAGGGTGCTGTGACCTGAGGGGCTTGGTTTGGACAGGTTGGTCCCAGGCAGCGCCTCCCAGGTGGGACACTGCTCTAGAGCCGAAGGGGCAGGGTGCCAAGAAGCTCCTGGGGGAGGCCGCTCGGCACCCAGGATGTGGGAGCTCCACGTGGGGCAGTGACCCGTGCACGTTGGTGGGCCTGGCCTGGGCAGCCCATGTGGCGGGCCCTGCCCTTGTGGCCGAGACTCCCCGGACGTAGGAGAAGCATATTTCTCGTTATCATAGTTGCAGAAGCGCAGCCAGTCGAGGGACGCAGAAGGCATGTGGGCCCCGAGAAATGAGAGCGGTTTCTTCCTCCTCACCTCACTCCCTTCCCGACGTGTCGCGGAGTGTGTGTGCACATACAGGTAGTTCCTACCTTCCACACTGCTTGCCCCCCGCACCCGCCAGTTCTCGGCAGAGTGCTGTAGCAGCGGACAGGTTAGGGAAGAGCACCGTTGCTCAACACATCTGTCTCGTATTCGAAGGAGACACCCAGCGAGAAAGAGCAACCTGCGACCAGGCTGAGAATTCCATCCTAAGCGCCATCCACGGGGAAGGGGCGGGGAGGGGCCTCAGGGGAGAGAAGGTGGCTTCTGGGCAAGGTGCCTGGGCACTTAGAAGAGTTGTTGGGGGTATGGTAGCCTGGGGCAGTTTGGCTGTGGTGTCACTTCTGGTCTCCTTTTGTGACAAGAGTCCATCTTGCTGACTACTGAAACCTGGGGAGGGGATCTGTGACCTCTGAAGTCCTTCTGGAGGGTCTGTGTTGGGCAGATCGGGGGAGCTCAGAGAAAGCCTTTCCCCGCATCGTCGTTTTTCAAGAGCCTTCAGCTCAAATGTTTCAAAGTGGCACCTTTGGGGTGGCATGTCCTGCAGTCATGGAGGGGCATATTCCGCTTCCCTTCAGTTCACAGAATTGACATGCGAGCTTTCCTTGTACAGTGTAAGTGCGAGTAATTGGCATTTACCTTGAGACCTCCCGCAACACTTACAAGGTTTTATGCAGCTACGCCTGACTCACATGTGTTTGTTTCCTGTCACCAGTGGTGAGTGTCTGTCGCCCTTGGCGGTACACAGCTCCTGTAATCTCATGCTGTGCTTTGAAGAGGTGGGAGGCCTGACTGCGTTGAGTGGCTGGCTGCCGTGGTCTGTGTTTTGGATTGAATTGTGCAAGGCGGTTTTGGGCTGCAGCAGGGGATCGGACGGCTGAGTGGTGCTCAGGGTCCAGCACGGCCCGTCAGTCCGTAACCGTTTTTCACTTTTTCACACCCAAGGTCATTACAGCTACTCGGAGAGTCGCGTGGAGCGGGATGGCCTGATCCTCACGAGCCGGGGGCCTGGTACCAGCTTCGAGTTCGCTCTTGCCATAGTCGAGGCGCTGAGCGGCCA